TCCTTAGCAAACCTTACCAGTTCCTTAGCAAACCTTACCAGCTCCTTAGCAAACCTTACCAGTTCCTTAGCAAACCTTACCAGTTTGAAATACATGCAGAATCCAGCGCTTCTCCAAACCAATACCCTCTCTCCTCTGGCTCATTTCAGTAACACTTAGTCTCTGGCTTTTGCTTATTTATTTATTTATTGTTTATTGACATGGGATCTCACTATATTTCCCAGGCTGGTCTCAAACTCCTGGCCTCAAGCCATCCACCTGCCTCAGCCTCCCAAAGTGCTGGGATTACAGGTGTGAGCCACCACACCCAACCTCCCAGTTTTCGCTTTTGTCCTGATACCATTCTCTACTCAGCAACCAGTGTGAACCTGTGAAGAACAGAGCCTGGCTGGACGCAGTGGCTCACACCTGTAATAATAATCCCAGCTACTCAGGAGACTAAGGCAGGAGAATTGCTTGAACCCGGGAGGCAGAGGTTGCAGTGAGCTGAGAACATGCCACTGCATTCCAGCCTGGGCAACAGAGCAAGACTCCAAAAAAAAAAGCAAGAGAGGAAGAAAGAGAGAGAAGGAACGAAGGAAGGAAGGAAGGAAGGAAGGAAGGAAGGAAGGAAGGAAGGAAGGAAGGAGGGTGTTAATGGATCATTGTGAAGCATTTATCATTTTGTGTATATGTATTTTTTGTTTATGTAAGTGGTATTGTAGTCTGGGTACAGTGGCTCACGCCTATAATCCCAGCACTTTGGGAGGCCAAGGCGGGAATATCACTGGAGCTCAGGAGTTGGAGACCAGCCTGAGAAACATAGTGAAACCCCAGCTTCACAAAAAATACAAAGAAAATTAGCTGGGCATGGTGGTGTGTCCTTGTAGTCCCAGCTACTTTGGAGGCTGAGGCAGGAGGATCACCTGCGCCCAGGAGGTTGAGGATGTAATGAGCTATGATCACACCACTGCACTCCAGCCTGGGTGACAAAGTGAAACCCTGTCTCAAGAAAAACATACAAAATAAAACTGAGTACAAAAATAAATAAATGGTATTGTATATATTTAATTTGCATAAGCAGTATTGATCTCACTTTTGTTCCTTACTCATTTCTTTCAAAACTGTGTTTTAGGGTTTTTAAAATTTATTTATTTTCTAGAGATAGAGTCTCACTCTGTCACCAATGCTGGAGTGCGGTGGCATGATCATAGCTCACTACAGCCTCGAGCTCCTGGGCTCAGGTGATCCTCCTACCACAACCACAACCTCGTGAGTAGCTTGGACTACAGGCATGTGCCACCACGCCTGGCTACTTTTAAAATATATATATATTTTTGGAGAGACAGAGGTCTCACTATGCTGCCTAGGCTAATCTTAAAGTCCTGGCCTCAAGGACTCCTCCCACTTGAGCCTTCTCAAAATTCTGGAATTAGGCTGGGCAAGATGGCTCACGCCTGTAATCCCAGCACTTTGGGAGACCGAGGCAGGTGGATTACTTGAGGTCAGGAGTTCAAGACCAGCCTGGCCATCATGCTGAAATCCCATCTCTACTAAAAATACAAAAATTAGCCAGGTGTGGTGGCACACACCTGTAGTCCCAGCTACTCAGGAGGCTGAGGCGGGAGAATCGCTTGAACCCAGGAGGCAGAGGTTGCAGCGAGCTGAGATCACACCACTGCACTCCAGCCTGGGCGACAGAACAAGACTCCATCTCAAAAATAAATAAATAAATAAATAAATAAATAAATGCTGGAATTAGGCCGGGCACAGTGGCTCATGCCTGTAATCCCAGTGCTTTGGGAGGCTGCGGCGGGAGGATCACGAGGTCAGGAGATCAAGACCATCCTGGCTAACACGGTGAAACCCCATCTCTACTAAAAATACAAAAAATTAGCCGGGTGTGGTGGCGGGCGCCTGTAGCTACTCGGGAGGCTAAGGCAGGAGAATAGCGTGAACCCAGGAGGTGGAGCTGGCAGTGAACCAAGATCGCGCCACTGCACTCCAGCCTGGGCAACAGAGCAAGACTCCATCTCAAAAAAAAAAAAAAAAAAAAAGAAAAAGAAATTGGGCAGCCTTCTCTCTTTCTGTCTTCTGTAACAACTGGTATGAGATAAGGACCATCTGTTCCTCCAAAGGCTGGTAGAACCGCCCTATAAAAACATTTCTGTTGGGTTCTTTCTCGTTGGAGTCTCAGATTACAAGTTTCTTTTTCTTTCAGTTTTGTTTTGTTTTGTTTTGTTTTGTTTTGTTTTGTTTTGTTTGAGACGGAGTCTTGCTCTGTCACCCAGGCTGGAGTGCAGCAGTTGATCTCAGCTCACTGCAACCTCTACCGCCCGGGTTCAAGTGATTCTCGTGTCTCAGCCTCGCAAGTAGCTGGGATTACAGGTATGTGCTGCCACATCCGAGTTATTTTTGTATTTTTAGCAGAGACAGAGTTTCACGATGCTGGCCAGGCTGGTCTCGAACTCCCAGCCTCAGGTTATCTGCCTGCTTTAGCCTCCCAAAGTGCTGAGATTATAGGCGTGAGTCACTGTGCCCTGCCTATTTTAGTGGTTTTTTTTTTCCCCCAAGAGACAGGGTCTCACTATGTTTCCCAGGCTGAATTTATATTCCTGGCCTCAAATGATCCTTCTGCCTTAGCCTCCCCCAAAGTGCTAAGGTTAGGACGGGAGTGGTGGCTCACACCTGTAAGCCCAGCACTTTGGAAGGCTGAGCCAGGCGGATCACCTGAGGTCAGGAGTTCGAGACCAGCCTGGCCAACATGGTGAAACTCCGTCTCTTCTAAAAATACAAAAAAAATTACTTGGGTGTTGTGGCTGGTGCCTGTAATCCCAGCTACTCGGAAGGCTGAGGCAGGAGAATTGCTTGAAAATGGGAGGCAGAGGTTGTAGTGAGCCGAGATTGCACCACCGCACTCCAGCCTGGCAACAAGAGTGAGACTCCGTCTGAAAAATGAAACAAAACAAAGTGCTGAGGTTACAGGCATGAGCTACTCAATTTTCTTTCCTGGTTATGGGTCTACTGAAGTTTTGATATTTTTGTGCCAATTTTTTCTTTTCTTTTCTTTTCTTTTTGAGACGGAGTCTCGCTCTGTTGCCCAGGCTGGAGTGCAGTGGTGCGATCTCGGCTCACTGCAACCTCCACTACCCAGGTTCTAGCAATTCTCCCTGCCTCAGCCTCCTGAGTAGCTGGGATTGCAGGCGCCCACCACCACATCCAGCTAATTTTTGTATTTTTAATAGAGTTTTGCCATGTTGGCCAGGCTGGTCTTGAACTCCTGACCTCAGGTGATCTGCCTGCCTCCGCGTCCCAAAGTGCTGGGATTACAGGCATGAGCCATCGCGCCCGGCCACATGTGCTGTCTTGAGTCTCATGGCCACCCCGAACCAATGGCCGTGGAGAGGGTATCTTGACCAGCGGTCCTGGAGGTGCCACCTGGTTGGAGTGGGGTGGGCATCAGTTCTCTAGGGATACGGATATGATTTGGGGTGGCCTGAAGGAAGAAGGGCGGGGCAGAGTCATGCACAAAAACATGCGCACCACATACCTACCACGTGCCAGGCCCTGCGAGACATCCTGGAGACACAGACGTGAACCTGACAGGCCCTGTGCCCCCGAGAGGGGCACTTTCCAGAAGTGGAGGTGAAACCTGCACGCACAGTTACGATCCCAGCCAGAGCACGGGAAGAAACTTGGAGAGGTGACAGGTGAAGGATTTGGGGAGTTCAAAGGATGAGGAGGGACTCTGGGTTCTGGCCTTGAGGAAGAAAGATGAACTGAAATTGCCCTTTCTCTACAAACAGTTAAGAAACTGGACAAAGCACAGGAAACAAGTGTTTTCAGATATTAGGCAAAGGGCAGCTCAGGGCTGTGATCCCTGAGCAATGGAAGACAAAGGAGAGGAGCCCTGACATTGCCTAGTTCCCACCGCCTGCCTCAGGTGATTCTCCTACCGCTGTGCTGGGAGGGGGACCATTGTTCTCACCAAGTTAAGAAGAGGAGACCAGAGTTTGAGAAGGCTCATCTTCAGGGCTTCTGATCTAACTGAAGACCGGCCCAGATATGGGTATTTTAAAGCTCCCCAGGGTTGGCTGAGCACGGTGGCTCACGCCTGTAATTCCAGCACTTTGGGAGGCTGAGGCGGGTGGAACAGTTAAGGTCAGGAGTTTGAGACCAGCCTGGTCACATGGTGAAACCTTGTCTCTACTAAAAATACAAAAAAATAGCTGGGCGTGGTGGCGAGTGCCTGTAATTCCAGCTACTGGGGATACTGAGGCAGAATGGAGAATCACTTGAACCTGAGAGGCGGAGTTTGCAGTGAGCCGAGATCACGCCACTCCACTCCAGTCTGGGAGACAGAATGAGACTGTCTCAAAAAGAAAAAAAAAAGAAAAAAGAAAAAAAAAAAGCTCCCTAGGGTTCTAAGGTGTAGCCAGGGTTGAGAACCACTAGGCTAATCTGCAACTCCAGGCAAAGGCGGAAGGGGGGCAGGGAACCCACAAAACAGAAACCAAACTCTAAGAAAAGGAGTAAGGGGAAAGTGAAACCGACCCTGGGCACCAGGCTGGGATGGAAGAGCATCTGTGGCTAAACACAGGGCAGCCAACCACCCCGGAGGAACCAGGGCCCTGCCCAGCCACTTGCTTACTGCGGCTTCAACACCCTGGCCTCCTTGGGGTCCCCTCTCCCCGCTACCCCTGTAGAGGCGTGTGTGTGCCTATTTGTTTACCATCAGCCTGCTGCCCCTTCCCCCAGCTGGACCGAGCTTGGGAGCAGAGGCTCTGTGTGTTTTCTCTGAGTTCATTTTCCCCAAGCCCAGAGCAGAGCCTGGCACAGAGTAGGTGCTCAGCAAATACTTCTTGAGTGACTGAATGAAGACAATGTATGATCCCATGAATCCTGCAGGGCCATGCTTTACCCTGCCCTATGTGATGCTGTCCCCGAAGGTTGGGCCCATTCTGACAATATCTTTTCTGTTTCTTGAACACAGGGTGCATAGAATCAAGCAGACACGCGCCTTAGTTTGGGACACTCCATGCAGCCATAGGGCCCTGAAAAGCTTCCCTGTTCTTTGTTTGTTTGTTTGAGATGGAGTTTTGCTCCTGCTGCCCAG